GTCGACAAGCAGCACAGTCCAGTACTTTTGGTTTTCACAAGTATACAGAGCTCAAAGCCTGGAAAATAGGGAAGACTGGGAGCCTGAACTCCCACATATGTTTAGAAACCTCAAACACTAAATCTAAAATATAAGTTGCCTCGTATAAAAGTCTCACTAATAACAGTCACAAAAATAATGTTTAAGTCCAAACAGTTTGTAACAAACAAACAATTTTAACTTGAAATTCTGTGCATTTACTATGATTAAAGTAGCCCTATGGCCTTCTAATTAAAAAAAATATATGTGCTGCATCACTTAACGTAAATGTATTTAGTTGTAACTAAACTCTTTGTTTACATCTTGCTGCTGACCCGCAGCTGGATTCAGCGGCCGGCTCCAGAATGTAAACAATGGTGAGCAATAGCCAGCAGGGGGTGGTCGCTTGAGAGTTACCATTACCTCTCAAGCAACCAGAAATTACAGTTATCCGCCACCTAGCAACCCCCTTGGATGCTGGATAACTGGGCGGTTACATGTATTGTATTTGTAGGTGGCATAATCCTTATTAGCATCAAAGGGTGGCCCAAACTCTTTCTTTGCACAGGAACCCTATGTATTCTACAGTACATCTACATGTACCTACAGCAAGGGTGAACATATCCCAGGAGCCAGGTAGCCAATGCGCCTTAAAAATTACAGCTGGCGTCTAACGTTTGAGGTTCTCTGTAGATGTAAATGGAGCAGGCTCCTAAAAAAAATCCTGCGGACACCTGGATTGGACAGACTACCTCCTAAATTCCATAATAATTTATACACCTCTGACCAACAGAACATATACTCTCACTTTCTCAAATTCATCTTATATATTAGTAAAATTACCCCATGTGTACTTTTAGGATGATTACTTTCAGTTTTGGAGCTTTGCTCAAAAGAATATGCCCTAGGGTAATGATCATTTAATAGCCAGTTACTGTACCTTATGAATGCACACGCATGTTCCAACAATAAACTTCCATTTGTAGCACGGGAAGTAATTAATTATCCTGTGACAGAAGTGTGTGGGGTCCTGATAAGTTTATATTGAGGAGTCTTGGCTCATTATTACGCTTTCACAACAGAATTATAACAGGATTAATAACAGCAAAAATAATGTAGCTTTTTAATTTTAGTTCTCACTTCTCATAACAGAATTATAACAGAAAGAACAACAACAATAATATACCCCATCTTTAATTTAAAAGAATTGTCTTAGACTTAGAATCTTAGAATTGAAAACATATTTCACTTTCCTCATAAAAATACATTAAAAAAAAGATTTTTCCTTGATTCAAACACATTTGGAATAGATATTATTGCACTACTTTGAACTTTCCTGACTTCCTATGAAGCTTCAAACTGCCCATGCACACTTTGGACAGAGTATGCAAAACAAACGTGACATAATGTATCTTTCCTGAAATGTTCCAATATGTGACTTATGGGGTGCAGGGAAAGGAGCAGGGGAAAACATGATCATGGAAGACATTTAAGAGGGGCATTCTACAATACTGCAGAAGATATACTGTATTTTTTGTCCATAGCAACCTGGAAAAATGTTTTTATAGTGTACAGTAATAAATACCAAAAAAATATTCATTCTTACAACGAGGAGCACCTCTACCACAGTTCCCATCTCGCCTACTATTTGGCCAAATTCTTTCTTCTTCCTTTCCTCCACAACTGTTCCTCATTTAGGTCGGACATATAACGCCATATAAACACTTGAACTGTTTAACTGTCAGAAATATTTGTATTGCTTGTTACAGGTTTGTGTTGGCACCAGTGTATTTAAAGGACACCAGTTATAAAAGAAAATAGGGGCTGCCATTGCTGACCTCCTTCTGAAAATGCTAGTTGATTTGCTGTCCTTATAGTCAATACTTTTTGAGTGACGAGTGACATACCTTTCCAAACCATAAAATGTAATGTCCACTTTTTGTTTTTGTTTTTTTTGGATACAGCGGTTAGGTGCTAGAACCTCTCTGTCAGGTTTTTGCTGCTGTCTGTTTGCTTTCTGGGCAGATTCCCCCCTCACTATTGCTCCAATTAACCATTGATGGGACATTTTAAATGGTTGATTTGTCACAGAAATGGTGGTAAAGGGAAATCTTCCAAAACGGAAACCTACTCTGTTTAAAAGGGGATAGCATTTTTGGAGAGATCACCAGACCACCTCTTACTTCCTGCTGCGTCTCTGGGACAGGAAGTGAAGGGAAATTTCCATGACGGGACACAGACAAGATTAGGTAACCTGACAAAGGTCTTAAAGTGTATTTCCAATTTTGCAGCCAAATTCTAATAACACCTGTTTTATATGTGTTACATGTTTCCATCCACATTGCATGAGCTTAAAAAAAAAATGCTTCTGGCAGTTTAAATTGCTTTTTTACTTGCTAAAACTTTACTTTTGTAATGGTAGGGTGGGCTGTGAGGGGTTTGTGTTAGCCCTGTCTGTAGTGTGCTGGCTGATTTAATTATGATTTGTACAGTAGACTTGAACACTGCCTGTCCTAGCAAAGGGTTAAATGATTACAGCCCTGGCTTCTGCATTGTATGTTAATGGAAAAAAACACATTCCACACATTTCTGTACTCAGTAATTGTATCAAGACAGGGCACTGTGAAGGTGCTCAGAAAAACCTAGATTCAGCCATCTTGCTTGCTGCAACAAAAGATGTAAAAGGTAAGAAATATTTTTTTTTAAATGTATATTAGTATGCAGTGTAAATGGGAACACATACTTACATATAGAGGGGTTTTCTCAAATTTGACCCTAAAAGTGAAAATACACTTTAACTATTCCCTACAATATCCAAAACAAAATGCTTAGTATTTTTACATCCACTACGTATTGATAGCATTTATCCAAACAGAACAGGTCAAATGACCCAGAGGAAACAAATGTGTCTTTTGGCTAAAATTTTGTTACCAAAATGGCACCTTTTTCAGCTCAGAAATATGAGAAGCAATTCTCCCTTGGCCATCTTACCTATGATATTACAGAGTATTCCACTTAAAGTAGAATGTAGACACAGAGATAGATACAAGTGCACTGAGAGGTATTGACATGCATAATTATCTACATAGACTGAGCTGAAACTTCTGCCATGGTTCAGGGCCAATCCAACTGGAGAAGTGTCAGGTTAGAAGGTCAACAATCACAGCATATTGTTCCTGGCACTATTTGAATGACACAATTCGAAGAATCCTATTCACTGCTATTTAGAGAAGAAAAACAGCCAAAGGCATAACTATATGCATAGGTGGAAACATTCAATATAACTTGACATTAAGATTTTTACATTACATTTTTTTTATATGGAGCTATTCTTAATGCATATATGAATGAGGGGTGTTTTTTACTGATTTTTTTACATGGTTGCTATACTGGTGGGAGATGGACACAGGGAAAGGGGATTCAACTTATGGTGCATTCTATGTTATAACAGGTTAAGTTCATTTTTTCCCCCTACAGATTTACCTTCAGCAGAAATCACATGCCAAAATGGCTCAGTTTTTAGCATTGTGAGCAGCACTGAAGATCAGCTTCTTCTCCAGAAAAGGTTGGTATTTTATTAAAGGAGAAGTGTAGGAAGAGTAAAACATACTCTCCTCATTACTTAGAGTTGGCCTTGGACACTGAACACTATAGAGCAGGGGTGGGCAACTCAGGCCCTCCAGCTGCTGTGGAACTACAAATCCCATGAGGCATTGCAAGACTGACAGGCATAACTCCCCTTACAAGAGCAATGTGCAAAGTGAAGTATCCCACAGCAACACGTGAACTACCAACTGTTCTAAACTAAAGAAGAGTCATAAAAAGGTTTGCACTTTTGCTATACTGGGTCATCTTTGCACTGCGCATGTATGGATGATGAGTACTGTATGTCCTGTACCTTTGCAGCTAAGACACAGCAATAGCAAAACCACTACAATCACCAACCAATGGCTGTTTAAGTCAGAGGGCTATAGGGTCAGGGGGCTAAGGGTGCTACACACCTTACTATAATATATATTTAAAGCAGAACTCCGGGCAATTTTTTTCTTAACCCTTGCTACCCCTGCATTGCAAGGGTTACGCGCTCTTTTTTTGTCTAGGTGCTATAAAAAAAGTTATAGTCATCTGAACTGCAGAGCCAATTCGCTGCAACTCTGGTCCCTGAAGCCTCTCGTCCCCTGTACTGCAGTGATGGAATGTCCCTTAGCGTCCCCATGTTCTATACAAGGTGTATAGAATGTGATGACTCATAAGACCTTAGACTGCTGGAGTGGAGGGGAGAGAGGCTCCAGGGACCAAGCTAAATGCAAGCTGCCTCAGAGGCTCAGAGGAACGGGTAAGTATAAAAAAAGAATTTTGGCACCTAGACAAAATTGAGCACTTAACCCTTGCAGGGTTGAGAAAAAAATTGCCCGGACTATAAAGGTTCTTTTTTTGGGTGGGGGGGGGGGGGGGGGGGGGGGGGGGAGAAGCGGCGCCCGCAGCTGTCAGGATGGCCGAGATTTCAGGGACAAATGGCTGTTTCTGGGAATTACTTATAGCAAGGAAGTACAGAGTGCATCTATAAATATGCTGCTTTAAGAATATGCAATCTGATGCAGGCTCAAAGCTGTGATGGAACTGTATGAGTGCTGGCATTATGAATGGCCTGATTAAATATAGCCTGGTTAGATGACTAAGGGTACATATAACCGAATTTACTGGTTGGCCTTGCATACCCTTGTCAGACACAGTGAGCTGGAACACATGCAGCAACAGGACTACTGAATTTTTTACCTAAATAAACCCATTTATTTATTCCCTGTAAATGGAAGAAACATAAACCAACTGTAACTTGTACTCTAAAAGGCTGACTGAATCATGCTCCCAGGCCCCAGAAACCACAGCGAGGGATTAGAGGCTTCAGTGTCACATATGAAACGGGCTAGTGTGAGAAAAGCTTTGTAGCTCCAGCCTGTAACACAGACGTCAGTTTTCCTTACCTTGAATGCACTGCAGTGTTCCGTCCTCGGCTCGTATTGTGAAGGTTTCTCCTGGGTTAACCTGAACTAGAATGACCTGTCAAAATAAGATAAAAGCAGTTCAGAATAATATAACATCTGGTGTCTCTACTGGGGAACTGCATGACTTCACACACTAACATCCCCTATTTAATCCTGTTGTCCACATGAACACTGTACAACATACAAATGGAAGGGAAAGGGAAGTAAAAGAAAACCGGCACAAACATAAGCATAATAATGTGTCTGATTGGTGAACTGCTGTATGGATATGTGCTCTTTTCTTGTTGACGGGAAAGTTATAGGTTTTCTTAGGAAGCGATTTATGAGATGGGACTTTCCAATGACAAAGACGCAGTGTGAAGTTAGACATGTGCACTGCCAAAAAATTTGTTTCGTTTCGTTTTAAATTCGGATTTGTGTTATTTCGTTTTTCGGGATTCGGGTGTGAAAGTCAATTCGGATTCGGAATTCGGACGAAATTCGGTAGCGGTAGGTCGAACGTTCATTTCGTTTTCTGTTCTTATTCGTTTCGTTCGTTCGTGACATTTGAGGGGGAAAACATATTTTTCTCCTCTAATGTCACTTTGCTCCAACGAACGAAACGAATAAGAAACGAACGTTCGGAATACCGCTACCGAATTTCGGAAATGGAAATTCGGATTCGTTTGCATTCGTTATGTCTGTAATTCGGAATTCGGATACATCCGAATGTCCGAATTTCCGAAAATTCGTCCAAATTTCGATTCGGAACGAAACGAATCACACGTGTCTATGTGAAGTTATAGACACGCCGTTCACAATTGTCAGCTGCAATATTGCTATCTCCAGCTCTTTGCAGCATGCCGCATGGTACTGTCAAAATGGGTATGGACTGGGAGCCAGCAATGCACGCTGGGAAAATATTGCAGTGCCAAGCAAGAGGCTGAGAAACAGTATTACAGCTGTAGCCAACAGTCAGTGGGAAGCTGCCAAAGACTTGAAAGGACTTGTACATAAAGGCATAACCCAACCACACTTAGACAATCTGTCTGCAGAGTGCTCCTTAAAGAAGAACTCCAGGAAATTAAAAAAAAAAAAAATACCCTCTAACCCTGGGGCTACCCCCTGCACTGCAAGGGTTAACTGCTCATTTTGTCTAGGGGCTCAAATAAAACAAATATATTCACCTGATCCTCAGTCCTGCTACACCAGTCCCTGCAGCCTCTTCTTCCCCGGGCTCTAGAGGTCTAAGGACCACTGAGGTCACCACGTCTAATGCAGGTCCATTGACTTACATTAGATGTGAGGATGCCGAGGGAAATCCCACTGCCAGAGCAGAAGGGGGGAGAGATGAGTGCCAACCGCCACGGAACAGAGGGTCAGGTGAGTATATCTGCTGTGTTTCAGCCCCCTCAACAAAACAAGCACTTAACCCTTTAGTGCAGTAGCCCCATTGCAAGGGTAAGTGTTTTTACAATTTCCAGAGTTCTTTATACTTGTAAGTTCACTTGTGTGTGACTGGTGGAGGGAGGAGCAGATAGAGGAATAGACCAATGGCAGTTTATCATTGGGTGGACATATGTGCATAGGATAGGTTTTCCCTTCTAACGGAGGCCAGCCTGCCCTATCTATGGGCACCCACACGCAAGATTGTCACCAAATAAGTGATAAACGTAAAAGGAAAATAACACAATCAAAAATAAAATCAAAATTATATTATATTTGGAATATTTGGTATATTAATTTTTGACTGAAATATTTCACATGTTATTATATTTATAAATTATATTTATACATCATATATGATACTGAATATTGAAATTTTTATGTATTTTAACATTTTGTATCCATATTTAGCTGTATGAATTGTTTGTTGCGCTTTGTGGGCCTCTTACACCTTTTATACTCTTATCCTCTTAGTACTCGGCATATGATTGTTCAGGAAACTCACCTAAAGGCCCAAGTCTGACTTCCCTTGGGAGGAATTTTATTTCCCTACTTGGGTATATGTGGTTTTTCAATCGCACTTGAGGGTTTTTTTTTTGTGGCATTGTTGTAAATGAATCATTAGTCAGAAAGGAATTTTAGAATAATGTTTGTTGATTTGTGTCTACAACAATTCCAATAACGCTGGTTTGTATAACAGAATGTTTTGCCTTTTGATTTCTATAGAAACATTTCTGTACATGCTAAAGATTGTAACAAACATATAAGAACAATTTCATTTTAAAGTGTATGTAAAGGCAAACCTTTTTTTTTAGGTTTGGGTGCTGTGAGAAAGGGTTAGAACCTCTCTTAGGATTTTTCGCTGCATGTATCAACTCTCTACTTGCAATGGTGACCATATTCACAGAGAGAGATGGGAAATCCCAGATCTTAAATGTTCTGGCGACAGCTGTCTAAGAAGGGAATTCCCCTCATTTCCAAAATATTTCCTCTCATTTTCTGTTGCATCCCACGGACACAGACATCAAAAAACTAATGTTATTGGATTTCCTCTATCCAAAGCTAAAACAAAATGTAAAGTGTATTTCTACTTTTGCAGCCAAATTGGGATAACACCTATTTTATATTTGTTACATGTTCCCATTCACAAAGCATAAGCTAAAAAAAAAAAAATGTTTCTTGTAGTTTGAATAATTTTTACTTGGGTTAGGGTTTTATGGGTTAATATTGCTTCTCGCTTCTATTTCTTTGAAATGTTAGGAGGGGCTGTGAGGGGCGTGAGGTGGCTAGCCCATTGTTTGGTAATGAAGCTTTTCAGATAAACCGAATCCTCAAATTTCAGTCCCAAGTCTTTCTATAAGGACAGACTACTCTGAAAGGACTAAGAAAAACCTGGAATCAGCCATCTTGCCTAATTTAAAAAAACATCTAAGGTATACACAACGAACATATAGAAGGGTTTTCTTAAATTTGACTGCAAAAGTGGAAATACGCTTTAAAGTATAATTAAACCTTTTTTGCATATATCTACTGCTAGCAAGCAGTAGATACCATATATGCAAAAACATAAAAAAAATTTAAAAGTTACCAAACAGGTAATTATTTACCTGTGTCTCCACCTCTCGCTCCTGTCTGAAGATCCTCGAGCGGCTGTGAAGGATGATGGGGCGGGCGCATGCGCAGTAGAGATCTTCGGCCGGGAGAAGAGGAGAGACACACTTTAAGTCAATGCAGGCAGCGGGGAGCGTGCAGGCGCATAGACACCGTGGGACACAGAAGCCACAGCAGTCAGCGCTGGATCAGAGACCGGCACCAGCGATGGAGGGACTGCTGAAAACTACTGGAAAGAAGATGATGATCGGATCAAGAGGCTTCTTTTAAGGTAAGTCCTTAAAGTAGAATGGGGGGGGAGGGGTGACTTTAATGTCACTTTAATCTTAACAGGTCATATATTAAAGTTTTTAATTTAGGTCTCGCTAGCTTACATTTTGAATAAATTAAATTTCATTGTTGTTCAAAGTAATAAATGGAAATTTACTAGCTTGGCATAGTTCCATCTTTTACATTTCCTAGGAATTTTACTGTATTTTTATAGAACATATTTTCAGGGGGTACCAAAGGGTGTAAAATATCCAGGATATTCACTCTTAATTCTATATCCATGTTCAAAAAAGATATGGTCTATAGGCTCCTTGTGAATTTTTAGAGTTCATATAGATAACGGGTGGAGGATCCAAGATATACTAGCAGTAAAAGCCGCATTTTTGAACATGCTTGTTTCAGTTCACCGCAAAGTATTCCCTATCACCATAGCAATGGATCCCAGTCACATCATACATGTCTCCATTACTCTGAGCTGTTCTCTCTAATACATCAGCCAGCTGGAAAAGACTCAAACACACATTGCCAGAAAGTCAGGAAACATATTTTTCCAAGCCACGTTAACACTGCAAAGGAGTATAGCATGTCCTATATATTCACATATTCAACCAGAAAGTGTACAACCAGGCAGATACAGTATAAAAACAAAAACACCAATCACTGAAAATATGAATCCAATACATAATATAATGCACTTTTAGGTGTTGTACAGGACACCAGGAATGGGTCCTGGATGGACGGTATATCCCTCCCTTGTTTAGGTGGTGGTCCCGTTAAAGTCACCTTGTATTCAGAGCCTCCATCCCTGACTACAGCCAGTTCCGGTAATGAAAGGGTTAAACCACCAGCCAGAGGGTGTGTTAAAAAGGAACAGGAAGCCAGTCAGTCTGGCTGTGTGGAGTGTTTGGAACAGGACACATGGCTATGTGTGTTAAGCTGTGGAATACAGTCTGCTGGGGCACCTGCGTCCATACTGGAACCCTCTGTGCGCAGGCTGGGACTCTAACCCTGAGGCTGGGACTCTAACCCTGAGGTGGGACTTAGTATACAGGCACTGAGCCGAAGTCTTGTGTTTGCTGAATATAAGCAATTTACTTTGACTGTTTGTGGAAATGAATAAAAGTTTGTTGTCTGATACGGCTGGCTACGGGTCATATCCGCCCTGAATATTACACTGTTTTATTATATCTTGATGTCAGTCTACTAAGCAGAGCAGCAGTTATACTGGGAGAGGAAGCAGCAGATCCCAGATCAATTCCTCTCCTGTCAGCATGCTCAGTGAACATGCTGACAGGAGAGGAAAGCAGAGTGAGCAGAATAATGACCTCACTGGAATAATGCTATTATTTTACTGTTCTCTACACTAGAATGTGGATTTAACCATGTTCTTTTGATACGACTAAATAAAGACACATATAACAACAGGGAGATTAATGCAATCTTGATTGCTGTTCCTTCACAATAAAAAAAAATCAAAAGGTTAAACATGATTAATTACTGTTGAAAAAGAAAGAAGCTAGGGGCAAGAACAGCACTAATAAATAAATGTACTTGATTGCCACGGTGCACTTACCCACAGTGAGCATTCAAAAGCTCTATATTTCAACCTGTCAACTAGTGATACTGGTAGGTGCACCCGTGTTTCTTTCTCTTTCACCATTACCTACCTTCCTGACAGGCTATAATGCTACTACAGTGGAAGTCTTGAACCTGGTTGTGCTGTCTGGAAGGGGTGCTTGAATTCCAAAA